TCTTTCTTTTTTTTTTTTTTTTTTTTTCCCCTTACGCGTTAGAATTTCCTTTCTCTGTTTCGAATGTTTGTCAGCACTCAATAGAGAAATGAAAGAGAAGACATAGAGGATTGCTGGACAAGTTAACGAGTAAGGGCGGCACAATATAAGGCGGTACAAATTCTAGGGATCGATTGAATCAATAATTGATTTTCTCGTGGTTCGACGTGCTACCGAAGTGTTTACTTTCGATCAGGTTGAAAGGTGTTAATGCTTAGGACAGCGTGTTCTTAAGGTGAGAATTACAGGCAGGAATTGTTGAAGAAAGTTCATTGGTCAACGACGCGCCATGTCAGGGGTGTTAAATCTCCAAAGACAATATAATAGGTATGGAAACTCGAAGCGGTTCCATTGCTGTAACCATCATCGAAGGTGGCTTCACTAATTTAATTAGGAATTTACACGATATTTCCATCGACCATTTTAACATTTGGTTCCTTCCAATGAGATTTGATCTTCCCGAAGTGTTAATCCATCGAGATATACGTTTGGTTTAAAGAACGAACGCGCGTTAATTGAAAATCTTTCGTTACAATGGAAGGTAATCGTTAATGGTCGATACTCATTCCACAAAAGATTATATCCATTTATTCCTTTCGCATTTATTCCTTCCAACTTTTCCTACTTAACATCTGAGAAACAATGTATGCAATATAAAATCCGTAATTAAAAAGAAATTACGAGAAACATATATATATATTATATACAACGGGATAACTTCGTTTTAAACGAGCGAAAAACGAATAAATCGAGAAAATTACTCACTCGAAATTTGTTGCACACATTCCATAACGTCATAGTTATTTCTTGCAGCAGATCCTCCACTCTTCGTTTCTCGGTATCTGCCTTTAATTGGCGCGATCGTTGCTCGCCGATCTGACAATTCAGTTTTTCCATCTCTTCCGCGTTTCTGCGACACGCTCGAATCGTCGAGACAAACATAAGATATCCTCGGGGGGAAAAAATGCATAGGAAGGAGCTCTGAAGGAAGAAACTCACTGTTCCGCGTTCCTCGTCTCGGAGAATTTTCTCGTTTCCATCTCGTCCACGAGCCGTTGCCTTTGCTTTTCCAACTTCGTTTTCTCTTCCTCCGTGGCCACCCGCATTTTCTCCAGATTATCCTTGGTCGCCCGCTGACCCAGAAACCGGTTCAGAACGTCCTCGGTTCTCGACACTCCGGTCGCGCTGCGAAGTTTGGCGAACGTCTCTTCCAACCGCGTCACTTCGTCCTTGCTCGCGTCCTCCGTGCCTCCGTGGCTTTTCCCGCGCGAGTCGAAATCGTCCCGCGGACGCGAATGGAATATCATCTTTTCCAAACGCTCGAGTTCCGTCTTTCGTTCTAACACGCGCTCCCTGATCTCAGTAGACAGACTTTAATTTAATTCTCAATATTTATTTATTATTTGTACGTCCAACTGTATATTAATATTCCCTCAGATTTAACTAAGAAAAAAGAAAGAAAAAGAACGAAACCTGTTCGCATATTCAAACCTGTATTCCTCGAGAACGGCGTGTCGCTCTTTGCTGCAATTCGTAATTTCAATCTCTTCCTTTATCAACATTCCCTGCATATTATCTTTCAAAGTAATAGCTTCCTCTCTCACCCCCTGCACACGCATACTATCATATCATACACTATTTCTCCCTATAAGGGAGAATATCAATTTTTACGTTTCAAGGAAATTTTCTTGCCTGAAGACGTTTCGTCTCGTTCTCCCGTTCCTTTATTTCATCCTCCAAATTTTTCAGAATAGACGCATAGAACACGGATTTTCTCTTTAAATCGGAGCACATGGATACATATCTCATACGCGTTATATTCGCCTTGATTTGCATCATCCTCACATGCTC